ACAGCGTTAGCCAGGATAGTCTCCATCTCCTGACCTCGTGATCTGCCCACCTCGGCCTCCCAAAGTGCTGGGATTACAGGTGTGAACCACCGGGCCCCCTCTCTTGGCTTTTATGCCCACTCTTTAACTACAAATATTTATCTCTAGCTTAGGTCTCTCCCCTTAACTCCAGATTTGCGTAGCATTCTAACATCTCTACTTGGACTGGTATTTCAACTTACTTCTAAAACTGAACATCCCAATCTGCCCCAATAACCTATTATAAACAACTGGGAGTCATTCTACTCTTCAACATCCCTTACCCTAATCTAATAGGGCACTAATTTCAGGGATCATTGGCACATTACATACTTTTAAGTCTTTGTTTCCTGATCCTTATATGGGAATAAGAGAGCTATCCTATAATGTTACTGTGAGGAATAAATGGATAAGATAAAGCCCTAACTCCTCTGCATATCAATCATACTGTTGTCTGGCTCTTATCTCTCCAGGAACTTTCTAGTATGTGCCTTGATGTATGCTATATGTCAATCTACAAGCACCTGCTCTTCCTTCTTCCTAGAATACCTTTCTTTCCGTGTAAAATTTCTCATTCTTCAAGACTCGGCTAAAAACACTATTCTATGCTGCTTTTCTTAACTCAAAACAGTGTAAGTTCCTATGTTGTCAGTACTGTATCTTGTCCACACCTCAAACTACTGCAATAACAGTGAGATCTTTGAGCACATGGTCTGTACCTCAACCACTTTTCTATCACCAGTGTCTAGAATAGTTGGGCATTTAAATAAAGTTTGCTAAATAACTGAAAAATCCAAAATAAATCAGGAAACCATTTATAAATCACACCAATCTTGCCTGGGTTAAACAATAGAAAGTAACACTTTTGAAAGAGAAGGTAAACAGGTGTCAGAGGGGCAAGAATGTGAGCTCGAGGAAAAGACAGCTACGAACTGTGCTTTTAACAACTCATTATTTGGCTACTGTATTTCCCAATCTATTCTAACACTAACAAGAATCTGTCTAATTGTGACAACATCTGTAAAACCATAGTTACCTAATTTTTCTTCCAACTCTTTTACTGAAGACAGAGGATCATTTTGTACAGAAGGTGATTTTGCTAAGGAATCCTAGATTTTACAGGGGGAAAAAACAAAACAAAACAGAATAAAAATCAGAATCAGAATTCATTTTCCATAATGAACCGGCCATCATGTTAAGCATAAGAAAATCATTATCAAAGAGAATTCCTACAAAAAGCAATTTGGTCACAGATTTTCCCTTGTTAGACCAGAAAATTAATACTGACCTTACTATGCATATGGCATTTACTATTAAAAAAAAATAGTAACCAAGGCCAAGATAGATAACCTGATACATCAAATACACATGTAATAAGGAAATGAATAAACGACTTTTATTCTTTAATTTTTAAAGAAAACCCTAAAAATTTTAGCAATACCACCAAAGCTCACTCTCTTGCTTAAAAGTGTTCTTTACAAAAGATAACTAGACATTTCACACAAGAATGAAACTCAAGTTTTTTCATGTTTAGTTGTTTTGCTAGCGACTGATAAACTTCTGACCAAGACATTTAAATCCCTAATCATTTACTCTTCTATAAACTCAAGATTTTAAAATTATCTAAAACTCCCCAAAAATAAATGTAATAAACTGGACATACAACATGGAAATGTCTAACGCACTTTTCAGAAAGTTGCCACTTGAACTTGAATGGTAAAAATTTACTTTTGATGTCAAGGTGTAAAAATGTTTAACGTATATATTTTAGAGTTGAACTAAGAATTTATTTGAAACAATACAATTCAAATGAAGAGTACCTTTAATAGTATCAACTCTGCTCTCGTATCTCGTAATTCTGATTCTTTTTGTTCTAGTAACGGCTTTAGGTTTTCATGTTCCTTTATAGAACATTTTTCTTTTTCATTATGGATTTCATTTTTGTTACACGTTTGAGATACTTCTTCAACTTGAATTAGAAGATTCTGATTTTCAAGCTTTGTTTTTTCATTAGCATTCTTTATTTCTAGAAGATCAGATTGCAGGGCCTCTTTTTCTGACTGGATTTCTTCTAACTCTTTCCTTAAGAGAACTTTCTCTTGCTCATAGTCTCTCAATAAAGACTTAAGTTCTTCACACTGAACTACACTCTCTTCTTGAAGGCACTTAATCTCTTTTTCTAACTCGAATACCTTTTTATCACACTGAAAAACCAGGTTGCATTTTTCCTCATTTTTTTTTGCCAAGGATTCACCGACTGCCTGTAGGATATTAACAACATCTTTCTCTTCACCGTCTTCTGAAACTTCAGACCCCATATCTTTAAGAAAACCATACAACTGAGTTTTGACAAATAACTTCTGAATTTGTTCATTTTCAAGCAATTTATTTAAATTATCTCGCTCTTCAACCATTAACTGAAGTTTCTTTTCTAATTCAGTAATATGTTCTTTAAGGATAACATCATCTTTTTGAGACAAAAAAACTTCCAAATCCCTACTCAATTGTTTTTTTTCTGAACTGAGTTTATTGTTTTCCTCATAAAGAGACTTCACTTCAGCTGACAATACTTCTTTGTCTTCAGAGAGAACTTTCATTTGAACCATAAGTTTTTCTAGTTTTTGGTCATTTTGATCCTTTTCTTTTAAAGTCTCCTCTAGTCCTCCTGTTAATTCATTTACCTTTTGTTCTAGTTCACTGTTGTACTGGGTTGTCTGCTCTACTTTCTTCCCAAGTTCAAGAATCAATCTTTCTTCCCTCTCACATTTCTTATGGAAATTATCCATTTCTTCATAGGAATTTTTCAGTTTATTTATAAAATCATCTTTTTCCTCAGTAAGAGAATTTATCTTTGCTTCTAATTCTTTTAACATGGTATCTCTTTGACTGAGACTAAGTAAGTATACTCCATTCTTTTCTTCAAGGTTCTTTATGGTATTTTCAAGTTCTGGTACCAATTCTTGTTGAGATAGTAACTTTTCATTTTCTCCCTGGAGGTGATTCACAGTTTCGAGAAGAGCATCTTTCTCAGTAAAGGCAGTTCTGAGCTTCTGCTGCAGTTCATGAACATCAGATGCTTGCTGTTGCTTCATTGATTCAAATTCTTGACTTATTTTTCCAGCAGATTCCCCCAGTTCTGTTTGTAAAATTTCCATAATCTCTCGTAAACTCTCATAATTTAAAATTGCTTCTTGCTTTTCTTGCTGTAGGTTGTCACACTGTTCCTTAAGACCCTGTATTTCAAACATTAATGTTAATTTTTCTTTTTCTGAATCTGACAAAAATGTCTCATTTAGCTCTGATATTTCTTTTTGATGTTGTTCCTTAAGGCTCTGTACTTCTTTGTTATGCTGTTCTACGGTACAGCAAAACTGTTTATTTAAACCTGCTAGCTCAGATTTTAATTTTTCAATTACACAGCCCTGTTCTTCTTTAGCTAGTAATAATTCATTAATTTTAAACTCTAAGTCTTCCCGTTCATGAAAAAACTCATCCTTTATATGTTGAGCATCCATTTCAAGTTTTAACTTAAGATTATTCATATAAGTTACCTCATCTTTTAAGATGCTATGTTGAGATTCAAGTTCTTTTAAGGTATCTTCTAAGTGTTTGACTTTTTCATTTACTACTTGTTCTACAAATGTATTTTCTTGGAAGAGAAGAGAACACATCTGATTGTCTTGGTTTGCATTTGAGGTGGCTTTCCTTAAATTTTCTAACTCACATTCATATTTCTCCTGGATGTTCTTTTCACTTGCCTCACATTGTTTTACTAAGTTCTCTTTTAGCTCATTCAACTTATTTATCTCTGTTTCATGTTCCTTAGCTGATGCTTCAATCTGGCACATTAATTCTTTCACCTCTTCTTGGTGTATAGCTTTCAACTGTAAAAGTTCCTCCTGCAAACTATTAATATTTTTTTGGTAATGCTGAGAATTAGCCTCAATGATATTTTGGAGTTGAGTAACTGTTTCCTTCTTTTCATCAGTGGTAGCGTCTAATTGCTTTTGCAGATATAAAATTTGCTCCTCAAAGGCTGGCCTAATTTTCTCAATCTCTTCTTGTAGTTTTTTAACATTATCTTCAGAGTTGTTCTGAAACTTAAGTTGTTCTGAGAGCTCTAATTGCTTATTCACTGCTTCTTCCAGTTCCTTTTGTAAGTTAGCTTTGTCTTCACTGTATTTGGCACGTACTGCCATCAATTCATTTTTCAAATTTTCAATTTCTTTCACATAGTTTATATGTGATTGTTCCAACTCCTTATGTGCATCTTCCATCTTAGTTATAGAATCCTATTACAAAACATAAGCACACATAAATTATTTAAGTAAGACAAAAGAAGTCTCTGCCCTTAGGAAAAATAATAGCCACAAACTAAGTAGAGAGAAAAGTAAATGAGAATAAACGTATTTGGAGAAACATGATACTGATATTCCAATAATTCTCCTTAGGTGCTGCCTATCTAAAGTATGACAATATACATCTACAATATTAGATCTACAACTCAAATTAGCTCAGACCTAATACGCAAGAAACAGAAGCATGTCTCTGAATAGCCTAGAACTAAAGAGATAACGGTATTTAGTCATGTGTGAAAATCAACTTACTTTTTTTTTGCTTTTATTAAAGAATAGCATTATAGCTGTAAAAAAAATAAAGCAACAAGTAAATTCACCTCTGTTGCTGTATAGTTAGGTGATTCAGTTATTTTTCTTTTAAAATCTCAATCTCAGTTTCTTTGTTTATATTACAAAATGTTAATCAGATTAGATGCTTTTTAAAGTCTTACCTCTAAAATTAGTGACTACACTATATAAGTTAATAAAAAAGAACACTAAAATATTGACTTACCTCAACCTCTTGCTTCATTTTTATATTTTCCTTTTTCAGAGAAAGACACTGTTGCTCAGTCTCTGCTTTTTCCAGAAGAATAGCATCCAGACGTTCAGTTAATGCCTATTTTAGAACAGGATTTATATGCCTGGGGTTAAAAAAATGGTGGATTGACCACATGCATAATTTTCTCCTGACCTTTTCAAAACACACTAAAGTGAGAATAAGAGATTTTAAAAGGTAGAATACATTAAGCAAAGAGAAAAGGAGAAAAGATATAAGGGTAAGAGAAATTTCAACACATTTTTGGAAAACTGAATTATGGAGGAGGATGAACTGAATTAGAAGCAGGAAGAAAGCTATAACCTAAGGACCTACACAAGGAAACACATATGAGAACCTGGCAAATATTTTGCAGAACTGAAATGCTCAGAATTGGAGGCAACAGATATTGTTGAGGGAGGTGTAATGTGTGGGCTCAAAAATTGGGGATTGGTCAACAATCTGAATAGGGACCAGTCAGAGAGTAAGTAAGAAATAATCTATGTCCTTCTCCCATCAGAGACAGGTTATTCTCTGCAGAAATTAAAGAGGAAGTTAATGAGATGGAAAAAAAAAACTCAATAAGCCAAGAGTCAGCTCTTTTAAGACAGCTAACAAAATAGACACCTTTTAGTAAAACTGATCAAAAGACAGACTTTCCAAAAAATAATACAGTGTAAAAGGATGCACATCTACATAAGTCGGGCATGGTGGCTCATGCCTGTAATCCTAGCACTTTGGGAGGCCGAGGTGGGCCGATCACCTGAGGTCAGGAGTTCGAGACCAGCCTGGACAACATGGTGAAACCCTGTCTCTACTAAAATATACAAAGAAAATTAGCTGGGTGTGGTGGTGGGTGCCTGTAGTCCCAGTTACCCTGGAGACTAAGGCAGGAGCATTCCTTGAACCCAGGAGGTGGGGGTTGCAGTGAGCCAATATTGCTCCACTGTACTCTAGCCTGGTCCAGCGTGGGTGACAGAGCAAGACTATGTCTAAAAAAAAAAAAAAAAGAAAGTTAAAGAAAATTATTATGAGTAACTATTTGTCAATAATAATGAAAACTCAATGGAAATGGATTCCTATAAAAATAAACCTTGGCCAGGCGTGGTGGCTCAAGCCTGTAATCCCAGCACTTTGGGAGGCCAAGACGGGTGGATCACGAGGTCAGGAGATCGAGACCATCTTTGGCTAACACGGTGAAACCCCGTCTCCACTAAGAAATACAAAAAACTAGCCGGGCGAGGTGGCGGGCGCCTGTAGTCCCAGCTACTCGGGAGGCTGAGGCCGGAGAATGGCATGAACTCGGGAGGCGGAGCTTGCAGTGAGCTGAGATCCGGCCACTGCACTCCAGCCTGGGCAACAGAGCGAGACTCCGTCTCAAAAAAAATAAATAAATAAAAAATAAACCTTTACTGACTCACAAAAAATTTAAAAAGCATAATGCTATATTTAAAAATCAAAAAAACAGTTAAAAATTGTCCACCAAAGACAACAGGAGGAATAGATGGTTTTTAAGCTGAGTTCTATCAAATTTTCAAGGAACAGACAGATCATCCCAATTTCATACAAACTTGTTCAGACAAAGTAAGAAGCAAGAATAATTCCCAAGGTATTCTATAAAATCAGCATAACTTGAAACCACTATCCAAGTACTTACAGAAAGGAAAAATCAAAGACCCATTTTATGACAAATCTAGATGCAAAAATCCTAAATAAAACATTAGTACACTATCACTATTGCTAATCAACAATTGTTATTAAAGACCTCAGCCTGTAAATAAAGCTTTAAGAGGACAGGAGGTGGCCAGGAGTGGTGGCTCATGCCTGTAATCCCAACACTGGGAGACGGAAGTGGGAGGATGAATGTTTAAGCCTCGGCAACAGGCGAGGCTCTGTCTCAAAAATAAATTAAAAAATAAGACGTGAGGCATAAAGACAAAAAAAAGTTTTTTTCAGATGATATGACTGTTTATATAAAAAATCTAGAAGAATCTATAGGTAATTAGAAACAACAGAGTTTCACAAAGTAGATATAGGATTAATACACAAAGTCAGTTCCATTTCTGGATACTAAAGAATTAGAAAATACAGTTAAAAAGAAGACAGCATTTACAATGGTATCAAAGAATATCAATAGTCTAGAAAAAACTTTACCAGAAGATGTGTGAAGGCATTCCACAGGGGAAACTATAAAACTACAGATTCCACGCAATTCCAATTAATTGCAATGAAGTTTTTCATGGAATATGACAAGATTCTAAATGCATATGGAAAAGTAAAAAACCAAGAATAGCCAGGACACTTTTGAAGAGAACAAAGAGAGGACTTACTCTCCTAGATACCATGATTTACTATAAGGCTATAAAAAATAATAAAGACAATACAGTATTGGCAAAGGCACAGACAACCAATGGAATAGAAAAAAGAGTTCAGACAATTCAGACAAACACAAACATTTTTAACTATAATATTAGATTAATGGAGAAAGACTATTCCATAATTAAGGTTGTAAAATAGTTATTTATATTAAAAAATACTTCGAACCATATTATAAACAACCTCCAGATGGATTAATATTTAAATGTCAAAAACAGAGTTTTAAATTCTTAAGAAACCTTAAGATGGCCGGGCGCAGTGGCTTATGCCTATAATCCCAGCACTTTGGGAGGCCAAGGCGGGTGGATCACAAGGTGAGGAGATTGAGACCATCCTGGCTAACACAGTGAAACCCCGTCTCTACTAAAAATACAAAAAATTAGCCAGGCGTGGTGGCAGGTGCCTGTGGTCCCAGCTACTCAGGAGGCTCAGGCAGGAGAACGGCGGGGACCCAGGAGGTGGAGCTTGCAGTGAGCCAAGATCGGGCTACTGCACTCCAGTCTGGGCGACAGAGCAAGACCGTCTCAAAAAAACAAAAAAAAACCAAAAAAAACCATAAGCTGGGAGAAGGTATTTAACACATAAACAACAAAAATAACAAAAAATATGTATTTTAAAAAATTCTACAAACCCGTAGGAAACCCATTGGCCCATTAAGAAAATGGATGTTGGTCAGGCGTGAGGGCTGATACCTGTAATACCAGCACTTTGGGAGGCTGAGGTGGGTGGATCACAAGGTCAGGAGATCAAGACCGTCTTGGACAACATGGTGAAACCCCGTCTCTACTAAAATACAAAAAATTAGCTGGGCGTGGTGGCACATGCCTGTAATCCCAGCTACTTGGGAGGCTGAGGCAGAGGAATCGCTTGAACCGAGAAGGTGGAGGTTGCAGTGAGCTGAGATTGTGCCACTGTACTCCAGCCTGGCGACAGAGCAAGACTCTGTCTTAAAAAAAAAAAAAAAAAAAAAAAGAAAAAATAAAATGGATGTTATACACAAAAAGCATACTTTCAATCCAGACCACATGATCTATCATTTTATACCTATTTGGCAAAAATAAAAATGTATGACAATGCCTAGTGCTGGAGAGGATATGGATCCACAGTATCCCTTGTACATTGCTGGTAAAAGTTATTTCAAATACTTAATAGTGGTTTGGCACTATCTCCCGAGGTTGAACCTTCATGTAACTTTTGACACAGATTTCACCCATTTACTTATAAGAATCCTTTGCACATTTATAAAGGAGATGTATACGAGAAGGTTCATTCTGCTTGTACTCCATCGCATAAACCTCAGCATAACCCCAACATCCATTAACAGTCTAGTTCATGAATGAACTGTTATTGTAATACAATGTCATACTCTATAGCAGCATGGTGACATGCAATGATACAGATGAGCTTTAGAAAAATATTAAGTGCAAAAAGTCCTAATACATTACAAACAACGTGATACCCTTTTAGTGAAGTTAAAAACTAAAATGAAAAAAAATTATAAAATGATACTTATAAATGCCATAAAACTTCATAAAAGGAAAAGGAATGATGAACATGGGACTTAGGATTATGGTTTCCTGAGGTGTGGGAAACTAGGGGGGGTGGAGTAGCAAGGGGGTGGGGATTACACTGCAAGATGTCTATTATTTTAAAGATCCTAGCTTTTGGGGTAGTTCATTTGTGATTATATCACAAATAATTAAATTGGAAGGAAATGGAGACAATGCAAAGGAGGCAGAAATAAAGTCCAAGACAGAAAAAATTTATTAGCTCAGAAAGATTATAGAACTTGTTGAATCTTTAAGATGAAAACAGAATATTCATATATCAAGAATGAGCTCTTTGAAATATTTAACATCAAATAGAAATTTTAATACAGTGATAGAAAAATTAAAAGTGGATGACATTTCTTCTTAGACAAAAGGGAAAACTATTGAGAAAAAGGAAAAACACTATTGAAAATATAAATCCAGATGAACATTCTAGAAAGTTTTGTGGCATACTCTATATATAGACTGTTTCCTTCAACTTCTATAATCAACAAGTTCTTTCTTGCCTGCCTCTTTTACATACAGTATAAAAGCTAAAACCTAAAACCCCTGATTTCTCAGATCAACAGCATGAGGATACAGGAGCACAGGGATGAAGAGTGTCTGGGTCCTGATGACATCACTGGAAGACTGCACCAGCCTGAGAACTGCTATGTCTAAACTTCTTAGATGAAATAATACTAATTTAAAAACTATTATTTAAGAAAACAAAAACAAAACAGATGTAGAAAAATTCAGAGTTCTATATCAAGTTACAGCTATCATTCAAACGTGAGAGTAAAATAAAGGAATATTTAAATACAAGACAATACAAAAATTTACCTACATGTGTTCATTCTTAGGAAGCTA